GGTTACCTTTGTCTCACACTCGTGCATTCCCTGTGTGCCGATCTGGCTGAGCAGCCATGCCCCATCCCGTATCTTAGCACAGAGGGATAGGTGTCTCTGGGGTGAGCGTGGGTGGCGTATGGAATGTTGGCGGGGAGTAGAGATCCAGCTCTGTCTTGGGGAAAGGGAGTACGAGCTGACAGAGAACATGGTGCAGGGTGTGTTACAACCACCATGCCCTTTGGCACCTGCCCTGTAGGCTGTCCTAGAATTTCCCCCTGCTTTCCATCCCAGGAACAGGGGGCTCAGAGGGCGGAAGTCTGAGTGTGGCCCCCGCGGGTAAGCGCCCCATTCAGTCCGAGAGCCCAGCCCTCCTGGCTTTCTGATTAGGGCCCACCCAGACCTCGGTCCTCGGAGAACACGCACGCGCCCACACAGGCACACAGATGCACACACGCACACACAGTCAGGGCTATGGGCAGAGTGTGCTGCTCTTCCCTTTCCAGTCGCTCTCTGTGGTGGGCCGTCCCGGGGTTCCGCCAGGCCATGGACTGGTGTGTGCTCAGAGCAGAGGGCCTGAAGAAATGGCTCCTCTGTTTGCAACACACCCGACAGGACTCTGGGTTCATTGTGACAAGCGGCACCCTACAGGTGTCCCGCCCTGCACCTCCACGTGGCTTCTGGGCAGGACTGGCGGCCTAAGGCTTTGTAGGCCTCCATCCTGGAGGCAGAAACGCTGGGAGTGAGCGCGGGAGTGAGGCATGGGCTTGAGGTCGGGACCGTCCTCCCCCGGGAGCTGAGCTGCAGCATCGTGGCCAGGAAGGGGCCACCTGGGAGCCACTGGTGCAACAACAGCCACTGGCTGGAAGCAAACGTTTGTCTTCCTCTTGCCCTGAGGTACCTGGAATACAAGAAGGTCCCCAATAGCAGCCCACCCGAGTATGAATTCCTCTGGGGCCTGCGAGCCCGCCACGAGACCAGCAAGATGAGGGTGCTGCGATTCATTGCCCAGGTAATAGAGAGCCTCTGTTTGGGGCCAGGCGGTGGGGTCTGGGTTTTGGTCTTTGCCGTACCTTCTTTGTTTCTTGGTCACAGCCTTCTCTTGCCATGTGTCCACTGAGGATACTGACAGGTTCCTAAGTAGGTCACTGACACAGGTTCACAGACGTAGTAAGCAGGAGGGAAGGGTGAAGCCCCTGGGCTGGCCCAGAATAACAGGAGAGTCGGACTCCAGCAGTCTTTATTTGTGTAATGGTTATGCACAGAGCCCAGGAGGGTGTATGGCAGGAAGCAGGTGCTCAGTGGAGGTGGGCTAGCTGTTTGGATGGTTGCTGTCGCTCTACTGCAGAATCAGAACCGAGACCCCCGGGAGTGGAAGGCTCATTTCCTGGAGGCTGTGGATGATGCGTTCAAGACGATGGATGTGGACATGGCTGAGGAACATGCCAGGGCCCAGATGAGGGCCCAGATGAACATCGGGGACGAAGCCCTGATTGGACGGTGGAGCTGGGATGACATACAGGTGGAGCTCCTGAGCTGGGATGAGGACGGAGATTTTGGCGACGCCTGGGCCAGGATTCCCTTCGCGTTCTGGGCCAGATACCATCAGTACATTCTGAATAGCAACCGTGCCAACAGGAGAGCCACTTGGAGGGCTGGCGTCAGCAGTGGCACCAACGGTGGGGCCAGCACCAGCATTCTCGATGGGCCCAGCACCAGCTCCACCATCCGGACCAGAAACGCCGCCAGAACGAGTGCCAACTTCTTCTCCTGGATCCAGTAAGGTTTTCAGTCGCTAAATGAAACTCTGCAGGAGGGGGTGGGAGGGGGCTGTGAGAAGCCGGGGGTGGGGTGGGGGGTGGCCGGTGGGGGAGGACCTGGGAGCAGTGGGAGGACCAAGAGAGTGTGAAAGGCACTGGTTCTGTCCTCGTGCGTCCCTCCCGGTTTCACATATATTTATATTTCTGCTTTGGCTTTTGTGCCTTGCGTTGCAGGCAGCGCTGATGGACTGCGGCCATCACGCACCAGGCCAGAGTGCCTCCTCGGATTCCTCCCTCACACAGCACTCTAGGCAGCTTCTCCCTGCCCATCTGAGATGGCATGCCAGATGAAGCTCTCTCTGCCCTTCCTGCTTTGGTTGTGTGCTTTTGTTGTGCGCTTCTGTCGTGTTTTCATGTTTTTGGTATTGGTGTTACATTAAAGTTGCAAAATTACTTGGGATGTTTCCTCCTTTACCTGTGCACGTGGTGCTCTGAGGGGCGTGTGGTGCTCTGAGGGGCACGGGGTCGGGTGCTCTGAGATGGCCACGAGCCGCCTCTGCCTGGAAGGCAGCAGGTGTGGGTTCAGTGCTGGGAGATGCGGAGGTGCCGGCGGAGTGCCTAGACCGTGAGTTTCGAGAGCCTCCGGTCGACGGAGTCACGGGATTTCCCACGTACAACCCCAGTTAGATGCCAACGGTCGGGGAGGTTGGCGGGGAAAGGGATGGAGTAGAAGGCTGTGGGTTGGTGCCATGGTCCCTCCCACCACACAGCAGGGTCCACAGACATCCACCAAGCCCCACCTCCTCCACCCCATCTTTGGAGGTGCCGTCTTAAGGGAACCCTTCCCTCATCATCCACACAACCTCAGCACCTCATCCCTCCCTCAGATGGAGTCTTCGGGGCAAGGAGATAAGCCTCAGAGA